TGTAAGTATATTCATCTATTTAATATATTATTTTCAAGCCAGAGAAGAGGGCGCTATAATTCTCCATGCCTGACATGTCAGTTTCATTACTTCTATCAGATCATCCGCTGATTCTCAACAGATGTCGACAGATGCAGATTAAAATTTAAAGATAAAAAAAAGTTGTTATTTCGAATAATTTAGTTTCTTTTTGTCTTTATACATTTACTTTTAGTATTATTATTTCGTTGTTTAGTTCATTTTTATTTATTGTACATGGAGTGTGAATGTGGTCTCTGAAAACTACTATAAATGTCCTTAATAGAGATAGATTTTAATATTTTTCAATAAATAAGTTTAATTAAAAAAAAAAAGTCTTGGATTTTAGAATTATTCATTTTGTTTGAATGTAACTAAAAACAAAAACAAAAATGGACTTGATAAGACACATAATATAGCATGGTTATATTTTTTATCATTAATTATAATAAATAAATATTGGGCTCCACTCCCCAACATGAAAGAAACAATGAGATTATAAAGGCCATGCAGCTCTTTATTAATGTTGCCACTTTTTTCTTGATTTTGTGATAAATTTATCCTACGATTCGTGTGGAAACAAATATTCATGAGTATTTAGTGACACATTAAATTAATCAATTTAATAAAATAACAGTTTTTGATTATAACGAAGTGAAATGAAGTCACTCACGATTTTTTAAAATAATTATAATAAATATAACATGTAAATTTGATGCACTAAACGACGTTTCCTGTAACTAAGTTGTATTTTTGGGCCTCGCTATAATAGTGTTTTATTTTTTGTGATATACAATTATTGTTAAAAGATTTTTAAAGTTACATTATGATGGTGGTGCTCACCAATTTCTTGTGATTTTATTGAAGTAATTAAGTTTGTCTAATCTTTAACTTGAGCGAAGTATTTTATGAATGAGAGGAATTCCAAATTACATATCAACAATAAATGTATCTAATTTCTTGTTCAGACATATTACACCTATTATACCACATCAACAATGGCAAGAGATGTATGGAAAACAAATTTAATTTTAATTGTAGATTAAGTCCATTAAAAAAAAAGGAAAAAAAAAAGAGGTGAGCCCCATCGCCTAATTAAAAGATAAAAACAAATATCAGAAACTATTGTAAAAACATAAACCTCCTCAAAATACAAAAATACAGAAAAACAAGCAATTTTGAGCACTTAAACTTGGAAGGGACTAAGAAAAAAAAATTAAGTGAAATTGCTTAAAGCGAGTAGTTAGTTAGCCCATGTGCCATTTGTATAAATGCTGAAACCCGCGTTCTGCTCTCTGTAATAATCTGCGCTTGACTTGTCGTAGTGCTGAAGCAGTGTTTGCAAGTTTGAATAGAACTATTCTCGAATATGCTTATTATACTCATACACATGCAAGAGTTATGTTTACTGGAACATATTACAGACTACTATCGCAGCTTCTTAATTGCCCGGCAGTGCAAAATTAAACAGTTGTGATCTTACCCCATAACCATTAATATAATATTTAACTATCTCTTTAAATTCGTTTTATAGTTTACAACAAGATACCAACCACTTTATAAATATTATTAACCACTTTACCTTTTTAGACATAAATGTTATATATATATTTTATTGAATAGATAATTACATAATATATAAATAGTTTTTAATCAAGTGTGTTATGTATTAATATTAAATCACCGAATATAAAATCCACAGTTATACTCGTATATAATATCATATACACTGCAGACTTGTATACTTATCAACAACCTAAAAAGAAATATTGAAAGATTTAAAAGAGAAACCTTATTCAAGATAACAGGAGCGATCTTCTGCATACATACACTTTAAGTAGTTGGACCTTTGGTCAGTCAATACCTTATGATATGAAGTCAAGAAATTTAATATGAGTAAGATATGCAACACAATGTTCTTCATCGAAAACCTTTACACAAAAATGAATGAATCCCTTTTTGAATAATAATGATCCCTGAAAGGCAAATGACGATGCCCAGTACAGTGTGTTTATACATACTGAAAATTCTTACGTACTTAATAGGTATTTTCGATCAAGTAGAAGCAACAAAAATCCAAAGGAAATATTTTTTTTTTTTTTGGTATTAAAGAAACCGATATTTTCCACCCTTAACAAATTTAATATAAAGAGAAATGTGAAAACATGAGTGAAGCTTACAAATCAAGGGCAGGGAATAGCTGCACATACTTAAATTCATTGAACCTACCCTTCGACAATAACTAGAGCAAAAAGCTGTGGAATACTATCCATTATGGTAGAAGAGTTTAAGAGTAGAGTCGAGACCGCAGCGAGCAGGCTGAATTCCAAATTCCAGGTTGAATTTCAGCTGCAAAGTCACTTCCGAAATAGTGCTGTTACTAAAATAGATCGCACTCAAATATTTAATTATATTGTCTCGAGTTGTCTTTTTTTTTCGGGTAAGTGATATGTTATTTTTTTTATTTTTAAAATATTTTTTTAATATTTTTTAGACGAAATTGTGGAAATTTGGTTCAGTTAATAATATTTCGAAAATCAATGAAAACTCCTGGATGGGCTATATAATTTTTACACAACTGACAAGGCAGAAAATCAAATAATTTCATCGAAACTACTAATAAATGTATACATTTTATTATATTTGTGATATTCTTTTAACAATTAATTAATTATTTATAAATTTATAAATAATTAATAATAAAATTCGTAATTGATTTTATTAAATATATAGATTCAGCAATTTACAAACAAATATTATTATTATTTAACATATTTCATACCTTTTTTTTCGATTTTACTATAGCCTATTTACTTTTTTTTTTTAAATAACAAACGGGATTGACCAACTTTGTATTATTATTGATTGTATTGATGCAGTGGACATAGGTCGACATGAATGCTTCAACCCATTACTCCAAACCCATTAATAATTACACTCAAAACCCTATCGCATAATGTCCTCCTGGAATGGTGGGGCTCATTATGCGCCAAATGGAAGAGATATTGGTCGGAGCTTGAGAGGGCAGCCATTAATGCCAACTATAATGTCAATTAGATAGGAAGCAACATTCATCATCATTTCCAGCATTAGGCTCATTAACCTTCAAAATTGTACTTGAAATTATATGTTATTAGTATAAAGTTTATTTCAACTAGTTGATACCGATATTATGAAACACTTTTTGGGGGCTGTTTTCGTTTTCGTAAAATATTTTAGCGTCAAAAATTAGGAATAATATTATAAAACCTCATTAAGAGTAAAAACTAGTATCAAAATTGAAACTATGGTTTAAAATTCTTATGTGAGTCAGTGGTCATGGGACGATTTTTTCACGAGCGATTTGCGCAAGGAAAGATATGTTCTGATTGTTTATGTATTTATCTCAGATCACCCGCATCAATAAATGCATGAATGGATGAATGAAGAAAAAATAGTTTATTTATTTTGGCGAGGAGGATTTCAAACCGAAAGATCCCCCTTCCATTCTAAAGATTCGCTGGTGATAAATATTGTGTATTGATTCAACCATCAAAAAGTTGATAATGCTCGATACTAAGCGACTTTTCATATAACTTATAAAACAAACTGTCAGACTTGCTGAAAATCTTATGATCATTGAAACTTTCAAAATATAAATGTTATACCTCTTTTCGCTCAAATGCTATAAAGAAGATAGTCTTCAGAAAAAAACAGCAACAATCAAAACATTAGAATAACATCTATTGATCGAAACAATAGGCCTAAGAATATTTTTAAAATATAAGAATATTTTTGTTGAGAATTCGAAATAAAATTTCTGTTTTTTTATATTTAATGATTATTTAACACACGAATTCCTTATTACATAGGAGGTACTCTTCAATGTAATTCCTGCGGGATCTATACATATTTAACAGTGTGGCACATCTGAACAGTGTTACTCATATTAAGCTTATCGGAATAAAGTAGACTTGGGAAATTATATTAGTAAAATCTTTGTATTTGTATTTGTGGTTACAATTGCTCAGAACCCGAAAATTATTTAAAATTTATGATACCTCTAAGAAAGTTACGGACGGTAAGTCGTTTAAGATTATCGGGTAGCGACCATCTAAAAGTGCTCCATGGGAACATTACATACAAACGAATACAAATACAAACGAAGTCTGCATGTGGTGGGGCCAACTTATCAATAACGGTTTAAAGCACTTGATGCTGCAGTGTTTGTTTCTGGAGACACATAGAAGGAAATACCTACGTACACATATACAGACTGCCACAGATGATTTATCAATGGAGTGTGTATTGGATATAAAAAATCTTGACCAGTTAAACTGTACTTATTTACTTATTCTCTTTTACTTATAAAACTAATCCCTACTAACACTAAATGGACCAGACTCCATTGCTACGATGTATATATTGCTTACGATGAAAAATAAAATGTTTCTATTCTAGTTCTAATATTAGTAAAATCTTAAAAAAGAAAACACAAAAATTGTTATTATTACTTTAAAGAAGCTCAACTGTACTAAGAGATTTTTTTTTTTTTTTTTGTAACTTCTCAATGTTTTGTTATTTACATTTATTGTTATTTTCTAATTGAAAATGGTACATAATCTAATATACCTTCGAATAAATCTTAAAAGCTAAATTGCACAAGGACTAAAATGACACATAAGAGATTGAAAAGCCATTAAAATTAAAATTAAAACTAAGCCTCAAAATTTTATTTAACTAATAAATAATTTTATTAATTAAAGATATATTATTATTTAAGTCATAACGATTTTTTTGAAAAAAATTAAATGTATTGAAGCCATTGGAATTTAAAAATGTTAACTAAAATTTTGGATAGTATTAGCTAAATATATATTTTTTTCAATCCAACGTTTAGAAAAATGAAAACGAAAATAACTATTTGTTGGTAATGACCATCAATTCTATTAAAACATGTTGTTTTTCCAGTTAACTTCTAGCTGATATAAGCCCTTCCACATATGGAAGTAGTAAATCCGAAGAAAGTCTTAAACCAGCAAGAGACTGATGTTGAGAGCGAGACGGACCAAGTTGAATCAAGTTGCTCCAAGCAGGCGAAGTCCCTCGAGAACTACTTATACCACTTAGCCTGCCTTGACCCACCACATTTTCCACTTCTTAGAGAAGATTCAGGTGGTGAATATCAGAGATTCGGGGCGACCGCAGAATTAGTAGGGAATATGTGGCCAAATTATAATTATGATCCCAATTTTAGATTTCGTCAATGCTAAACCTGCCACTTGCAGGGTTGGTGAATCCTGGCAGTTATTGAATCCAAGACATTGAAAGCAATTGTAACTCCTTAAAATAATGGCTAATAGTTCATGGTACATTGACTCCTTTTTATCAAATTATTAACGTCGGCTTAAAAATTCGTGAACGACTTCTTCTTTACCGTAATCTAACAATGTAACAATGTACAGCAACAATTTTTTATCTAAAAAAATTAGCAGAAATGTGGCGCTTTCTCATCAAAATAATCAATTTAATGCGGTAGTAAAATCTTGGCCATGTTAGTAAAAATGATGGCCCATGTTACCTCGTTATTTTGACATGTTGGGTGTGGAAATTACACCAAATGGCCCAATATGTATGTAGGCTTCTTTTGTTCTAGATTTTTCGATCAAATTATCTTACAATCAAAGTGATAAGCAAATGGGTGTTCATGAGTCTTTAGTATATAATTGATTACGTGATCCCTAGATTCAAAACCAATTTCGAGAAATTTCGTAAATATAAACGTTGTAGTCATAATGATGTACAGATGGTTGACCGTTGATATGATATGAGAAGGAGTTAGTCGAGGGTGCGGTCAAATAAATAAAGAAATTAAAATATATAAATAATTTTAATTTTTGCCGACGTTTCGACCCACTTTGCAGGTCGTCTTCAGGGCTACAAAAGATACAAACATGTTGAAAAAATAAAAAATAAATATAAGTATATATAAATTACGAAGAAGTTGTCAGATACAGAAATAAAAGATAAAGAAAATAAATACATGATAAGAAAATAGATAAAAGAAAATAAATACATGAATGTTAACGAATAAATGAATGTTAACGAATAAATAGACTGAAAATTGAATAACTATTGTTACAGTAAAGTTAAAATATGGATAAAATAACATAATAATAAGATATCAGTGGATAACAAGCAAGTGGAGGTTACGTTAACGTTGTAGGTTATGATGAGATGAAGCTAATTACTAAGTTTCAGGTTGATGTTAATAATTTGATAAATTATAGTTTAAAGTAAAAATAAAAATAATAAATTCATACTTTTTAAGTTAATTTTTTTATATTATTATTATTAAATATTAAACATATCTGCGTAGATTTTCTATTTTAGAAATTTTCATTTAAATCCTGATACATATTTTTTTTTTACCAGTTTATAAATCAATGCCATTAACCGAATTAAAAGTAAAAATCTGAGAAAACCATGTATGTAGTCAAATACAATTTAAGAATCCCTTAATCATCAATTTTTTTTTTTTTTTTTTTTTTTTTTTTTTTTTTTTTTTTTTTTTTTTTTTTTTTTTTTTTTTAGTTTACAGTCTAACGAAAAAAACAAAAACAAAAAATACATGTATAATATAAGATTCAGTAGATTTTTTAATTCATCTCTGTTATTTAGGTGTTGACCTCACACCATGGTCAACACCATGTAGGTGCTTACAGCTCTGGTATGTCAGAAACTGGCAAGAGAAAGAAGATGACAAAGGTTAGTCAGTATAAAGGGTAAGTAAGAGAATCAGCTTAAATAAAAGAAAGGCAATTAGTCACGTTGGTTGCTGGCACAGGTCGCCCCGGAGTTGGACAAACAAAGGTCACAAACAACCATCCTGAGATGTGACGTATTGGCTAATTGCTCCAATCAGCTTTCTAGTTGCCCCTAACTCGACCAATCAGATCTCATTCATTAGTCTTCCATGGAGGTCACGGCTATCATTAATTGTGACCGTCGTGGTTGGTCGGAATCCGTCCGCGGTAGGTCCAAATCAGTTGGAAACAGTTGGCACAACATTCCAGTATTCCAACTCAAACAAAAATTAACACCTATATTTCATCAAAATAAAGTTTTTTTTGTGGATACTTTCTTATGACAAATAAAATCTGATTCAATTTAATAATTAAACTGTTTATAGAAAGAGATCAATCAATATTAATATTGCATGATATATAGACAAAGTAAGTAGGAGCTTTTAGGAAACAATGAATGCTTTAATATAGATCAAATCAACAAAGGTTAAACAGAGTTAACTAATTTCTATAATTAAAGATACATAGTAACTGAGCAAAAAACTATGGAACATTTACTTTTTTACATATAAACTTTCAAATTGGAAATTTAAATAATTCTTTTCGGTTAATCAAGATAAAAGGAAGCATAGTGATTTTAGAAGTACTCACTTTACTTTGTATGTAGAGCAATTTAAGCGAAGGCTGACATACCTAAAAAAAAGAAAATTGAAATATAATTTTATATGTAAAATAAACAAAAAACGATTAAGCAAATAGTCCAAAATAGGCTGACATACCTAAAAAAAAGAAAATTGAAATATAATTTTATATGTAAAATAAACAAAAAACGATTAAGCAAATAGTCCAAAATAAATTAAAAATATGTAATGATAGAAAATAATAAATACAGATTATTTAAGAAAGTGTGTAAAGCATATAAAATATTATATACTATTAAAAATATATTATGCTGTTATACAATACATATATTCCAATTTATTCCCAGACCTATTATCGTAAAATAGTAATTTGTTTATAAAAACAAAATGCTTCATATTGAGCAAGAGAGAGTGTCCGATTGAATTTTACACATATATAAATCTAATACATAATTAAATTATATAGAAACATAATACGACTAATTCCAAACACTGTACAACGCCATTAGTAAAATGGTATCTGCCTACCAGCTTTATAAATATTTCAGTGGCATTGATTGATTTACATTCAACGGATGTGCACCCCTCGACAGCGGCACATTTCAATGCTTACTAAATTATGAGTGACGATTATTAACAAGTAGTGAATATTTAAAGACCTGCATAGCAACGTCGGGTGGTAAAAACCGGATTGTAACATTATGTCGCAGTGAGGGCTAGACAGACAGTGGAAATATAATCAACACATTAACTCCAATCCCAGCGGGTTAAAAGGGGAGGGGCTTGCTACGATGAATCACATAAGGGCATAACGTGGACAGTTGATTACATCATCAATTAGCAGCATGGACTGCTAATGTTAATCCGTATAACAGTGCTAATCTACACCAACTAAATCTGCATCTAGTTTTTTAAACGGTCAGACACTATTTCATATTCCATCAGTGTTTCTCTTCCAGTAAAGCGCTATCATTAACTTTCAGAAAACTTTTAAGTTTATTATTAATTTTTTTTTAGTAATCTATTCCCTAATCATCCCTGTTGAACAAATCCGATACCTCCACTAGGACTAATGTCTAACTTGGAATCCTAATACCAGACTAAAAAGACAAGAAACTCCTCGACGGTTCCGACTACTTCAGCAGACAATGCTCTATGCTCCCGATTAACGACAAAAGACTCATATACATGCCTATAATAAGGCTTATTTGGACTTACGGAGTTGACCTTTGGGGCTCCTCTAATCCATCGAATTCCTCTTGTATGCAATCCTTACAATCCAATATCATTCGTAAAATCCTTAATGCTCCTTACTTTGTCACGAATAAAATCATCCATAATGTTCCTTATCTTTCCAAATCGGCCCAATCTAAAAATCTATCCTTCCATAATATACTTCTGAGCTATCCGAACTTTTTCGTTTTTAATCTTGATTGCTCTTTTATTCTTGATAACCCTCGGAGGCGTCTGAAAAGAAGAAGGCCACGGGACCTTCTAATATAGAACTATTACTGGAGTGCTACCAAGGTTTAGTTTTTTCTTCATGTTGTACATGTCATCGTACCAATATCAAATTTACTTGTTGTATTTGTTTACTAATACAGGTAAAAATTTTAATAAATATATTAATAAAAAAATCAATTGTGTCTGAGTTACGTAATAAAGTTTTACTGGTAAAATTGATTTGTTGATAGTGGTTACGTAAAAAAAAACAAAAAAAAACAGCCCTACAGGCAGAAAGCAAACAAGGAGGAATAGGCATAATTAAGGAATCGAAAGATATATCAAGAAAAAAAAAAACGATAATGAAGGTTTATTTCGAATAAACCTAAATAATGACCAATAACAGGGAAATAAAAGAGAAAATCAAGACAAAATATGTGACAGTATGGTACCTGAGACACGGGTCATGGGTTGTTGTGATTCAGTTTTTTTTTTTTTTTTTTAATAAACCTTAATTTGAGAAATAAAAATATGTAGGATTATACTTTCTTATGAAAGTATTTGATATTGTTAAAATATATATATATATATATATATATAAAATAGATTGAGGACCTCGTAAATTCGATAAACTATTGGAATGTTATTTGATGGGAATGAACTAGAAAGTCTTTCGAATAATGACTGTTGAGAAATTCCGAGCACGAATTGTTAGGATCAGTTAGGTTCTAATAGTACCTCAATCGATTTAGTTTTTTCTCTGCTTTGAAGGTAGCAATTGGTTCAGTAATATGTCTCCCTTTAAACTTGGAACAGCTGAAGTTATGCAATGAGAATGGATGACTCCTAAATGAAATAGTCTATTATAATAGACTATGATGATTAATAATTATTACTCACCATTTAACAAGCCATATGGTACGTTATAGACATGTTAATTATAACACTTGGTGACTTTTTTGAGAGACTTGGGTATGTTTCGTGGATTTTTTAACACAGTTAAGTAGATTGCGGTGCTCACAAGTCAAAATTTCGTCTAGAGTTTTTGAAGTGAAAACGTCTTTAGATGTGTTCTTCACTTTTTTCGTGGAGACTGAATTAGATTAATCCGTCAGATTTCCGATATGTAACGCTCGGGTAAAGCGGTTGGAGTTAACTTGAGTATCTTTATATGTGTTTTTATATATGGATTAAAATATCTCAAAAACTAAAAATCTTTCTATTAAGCTATTATTAAAAATTGTATATCAAAGCGATGCCGTGAGAGAAGGAGAAAGGGAAAAAATAGTGTGGAAAACAAAAAGATAACGAGTTCTATTATACTATGTACCGTACCGTAAAACTATAAACCGTACATGCATACTCATGTTCACCATTTGATCCTCTTTATAATGAACTGTAATTTATAATTTATATTTCATATTATTAATCTGTTCTTGTTTATTTATCACTTCTATAATGTGCTCTAAAGCAAAGACTTGAGTTTTTTATTACTATGTTATTTAGAAGTGCATTTTAAGAAATTTAGATAATTCTCTTCCTCATCAAGAGGTGACAAGTCAAATCTCGTCGATTATCATTCGTTCAAAGGAATTAGCGTTTAAAGAAAACAATGGAGAAAAATTGTAAAAAAAAAAAAAATCCGAATCCATTATACAAAGTGGTACTTAAAAAATTGAAATATCGCAATCCAGGTATACACATGTGTGTATGTATTTTATATATATGTACATATTAATACTTCCTCGCGTCTTTCTTATTCAATTCGATCCACCGCCTTCTACAGCTCAAATCCTCAGCCCACTCACAGCATCCAAGATCCCGTGTTTCTGACATTTATGCTCTCTTTCATGGAATTAAAACCTTCGAACGTATCTTTCTAGCCCGTTCTGTTGCTTTCTGGAATTCCTTTCCATCCAACTTGTCTCTTCTCCGTCTTCATTCAAATGCCTCATTTTCCCAATACCTTCTTACATCCCAAACAGATGCTCTGTTATCGTGAAATTGCATTTCATACATGGATTTTTTTTTAGAAGTAAATAGTAGTTTCTACTCTTCATAATTCAACGTCAAATCAATGGTTTTTTTTCTCTCTTTTTGTTTTTTTTCCCTTTAGTACAGTTACATTTATTCCAAACTCTTGTTGCCATTTAACTCATCTTTAATATCCCTATCGATGGCAGAGAAACTGAAGAGCCATATCAATATTTGAGATGAGGTTTTGTTCACCCTAACATCCCTCCTCCTTTCAACATCTTGCATATTTTACTAGGACCGGGACCAAGTTCACAAACAGAATTAAAATCACAACAGCTCTCTCGCTTCTCCCTTTCTCTCTTAATACAGACAACAAACAGCCGCCTCGACAAACTGAAGTTTCTATTGATTTGCACTTTCAGAATTTTTAATTACTTTTAATTTATATTGTTTGAGAGGAAATGTATTATTTTGGGCTTTATTATTGTAAGGATATTGTACTCTAAAATATTTCTTTTTTTTTTTCATTTCGTTTCTAACTAGAATAGTAAATCATTATAATAAGAGATCCATAAACTTTTTTACAACGTAAGTCGCAACCAAGGATATCTAAGGTAAACTTTATCTATACTCTTCACCCATGCTCCATGTTATATTCACATACATAAGAAGCAAGTCGACATTTCTTTGAAATTCACCTCACGATTTATTTTTATTTTTCTTTCCATCAACTACACCTTTTTATTTCTCTCATTATATTAATTTTAATAGACACTAAAATATCTTCTAAAAATCGTAATGTTTCCATTGTAAAAAAAATATATGTATATAAAATATTTTAATTCACACTATTATTTTTTGTTTACACAATTTTATATATAATGAGACACTTAGAGATATTTACATATCTAAGGTATACAATAAATATAAAAAACTAAATTGAAGATGAGATTAAGTTTAGGTCTAAGATGGAAAATGCTAGTTAATTTTTTGGTGACAAACTAAAACTTCCAGTCCAGAAACTAAAAATTAGAATTTGCATAACCTTCATCCAAAGAGAAGTTATTTATGGAAATGACCGCATACATTTAGGGATGAGTGACGTCTTTAAGTTTTTTTGAAAATAAAATATTAGGAATAATATTCGGACCTAAGAAGGATGAGTCAATCGGAGAATTTTAACGGTTGCACAAACGGTTGGTGAAATTGCTGGCCTTAGGAACAAAACAATCC